GTATCAAGAAGTGCACGTTGTGCATCCAGATCCAGTTTTCGCACTGATCGATCTGCTAGAAACTCTTCCAATGAAAGTTTACTTGATAATTTGTGATGTACTGCCATTGACTCACGTTGAAAAGGTTCATCGATCTCCTCTTCGACTTGATCATGATCTTCTGGAGCGACAAATAATCGGTTCTGAAGCATATCTAGCAGATTCTCATCTTCCACGTCCGAAGATTGAGATGTAGACGAACGTATTCCCAAGTGTCTACCCAGTTGCTCAGCCAATACAGAACTGTCGTCGTTAGAATCGTGCTCATGTTCGAAGTGATCCAGTGCATCTCCGTCGACATCTTCATAGTCATTCAGCTCACCGATGAACGCTGACAACTGAGGTGGAGAGCTCAACGTGAACTGCTTCCTTATCGCTGCCGTCGACTGCATCCTCAAGTGCCTCGTGTTGCAAATAGCCGTTTCAATACTGATCTTGGATAAGTAAAAAAAAAAGTTTAACACCACATTTTCTTAACATTTTATCTATGAAAATATTAATCTAGTTCTCAACGTGCTTGTTGGGTTGCAGGTTGGTCACTGCGAACACGTTTGTAGGGTCCAGTGCACTCTTAATCCCCTGTATGGCTGCGATGGCTGGAGGTGAGATTGCTGCCGGCAGCCAGGCAAGACGATGCTTGCCGACTCCGTGATGGTGCGATAGAGCACCGCCATTACGTACGATGGCGTCCACAGCAGCAAGTTCCGTTTCACGGAAGAGTGTCATGGGTTCATTGACGCGGAAGTAGTTGATACCGTAGTACACGTACACACAGACGCCAGTATCGTAAACTTGGGAGATACGACAGGCGATAAGCGGTGGAATCTTGACGTTACGCTTGGCAGCCACAGAGTTGATAGCCAGCTTGATGTCGGTGATGAGTTGACGTGCATTTGTCCAGGAAACGCAAGTCTCGAACGATTCGCTCATGAAATAATAGTCCAGAGCGAAGTCACGTAGGTACGCGATGATGTACGTGAAGAAGTAACCGCGTTTGCCGTTCTCTTCGCCTCCAACCATACCTTCATGACGCTTGGCAATCGTCTGGATGCGCTTCTGCTGTTCTGCCACCTTCTGTTGACTCGTACCTTCAAGCAGAACAGTAGCCGCACACATTTCATCCACATCGAAGCCACGGATCTTAGTCACGTACGTCTTCTTTGCAAAGTCGATGACCCCAGCAGTGAACTTGTTGGTCGTAGACGACGTCTTAAGTGCCTGACCCAACTGGAACTGCGTGTTGTCCAGTAGACGCAGCGATGCTGGCTCGCATCCAGCACGCGTGATCTCCTTTAATGCTGCAAGTCCGTGCTCAAGACTCGGGAAGATGAGCGAGTCGTAGACCTGCACAGTGGGAAACTCACGAAGACGCAGCGTCACCAACGTGTGCACTCCAAAAATCCCCTCTGAGCCCATCATAGCGTTGTTCATGTCCGGTCCAAGGGCAGCACGAGGCACGTTAGCAGCACGTTGCATCGTTCCTTGTGGCGTCACTGTCGTGATGTTTACTACCAAGTCTTCAATGTTCCCGTACGTGTTCTTCTTCATTCCGGACGCACGCGTTGCAATCCATCCGCCAAGTGTCGAGAACTCCCACGAGTCTGGCTCATGGCCAAGAGTAAGTCCCCTATGACGCAGACGCTCGTGCAAATCCAGTCCAGTGATACCT